CCCCCAACCCCACCAAAAAAAGAACAATTTCCATTTCATTATGTTTCTCTCCTCCCGCTTTCTTACTTCCAGGGTCGAGTGCCAATGGAATGCAGACGATTGCTGACACCAAATAGTGTGTGGCCTACAAATGATGACACCTTATCTTATTGTTATAAAAATGAGAGGCCCTAAATTTTTAGGGTCAAGTTATGTTGATTTTTCCTGAGAACTTGCTCAGTTTTTTTCCAGTATCACAATCAAATCATTGATTTGAAGAAAAAAAAAAAGGTCCGTAAAAGTCTTTTGCTCCTAATGTCATGCACTTGATTAATGAGACAACACATGTTTATGGTGCATGCATAAAAAATTTTGCATACATAACACCTACACATTATGCATTTTATAATTTTTACTACTTATCACATTCCTCAAATCCAAGGGGTAAGTCATTGATTTCAAAACATAAATTATATATAACTTTTGAGTTAATATTGGATGTAGTATGTATTTCTTAATGTTGAAGGCATTATAGCAATGGGCAAATGTATAGCGTGACAAAGACAAGGCACTTATGCCTCCCCCAAAGATGAGGAGATATCTGTTGAGTGAAGTGTCTCAAAAGATACATCATAAATCCTGAGACAATAAGGGTGACTCTGCGAAGTTTACAAAGTCTTATAGCTCTATGGATAAGTCAACGTGTTATGATTCTGTTTCTGATTAATACATTTTCTGCTGAGTATGTGATTGGTTGACCACAGGTTACCAGAATAAAATATTCAAACTCTAGCTTTGATGTTACACAATAAATGGGTTCTTTCTCTTGTTGTGAGAGGGTTCAGAAAACCTAGTCATTCAAAGAGAATCGATGTTCTAAATATTGGATATGGAGGACTTTATGTTGGACAGAAAGTTGCATATCAAATGACGGATATTGAAAATAAACTGGAGATATTTAATAATATTTAATAAATACCAGTCATATCTGATAATGTCTGTATATTCATACTTGATGCACTAAAGAATGGAGTTGTTGAGAAAGATCGTATCTTTCCAAAACTTTTGCAAAAAGATTTGGCCCCAATTGAACCCTAATTCTTCTTTTTGATTATCTACGTACGCGGATATTTGTTTGGATTTAGACCTGAGCAGAAAGGTAAATCCAAATCAAGCTTTAAAACATGTAACCAAATCCTTATTGCAACATTTCGGCCGAATGTTTTAGGCTCAAAAGTCATGTGATATATTAGGAAAATCATGATATATAGGCCAAAATTTGTCAAATGCGGTAAACAATATTGAGACCATATTAAACAATATTGAGACCATATTGTTTTGTATCAAGCCTTATAAAAGGATATATCGGGCAATATATCGACCATATCAGAATATTTTGCACAAATATTGCCAAAAATGGTAAAGGATATTAAGATGATATTGTTTTGCAGCAAGCTTATGAAGGGGGCCGATATATCGACTATCTCGGGATATTAAAAACAATGACAAGGATAGAACCATTATGTGTCAAAGACATAGTTTATCTGCAAACAAAATTTTGCCTCTGATTAAAGAGAGATTTTAATTATACAAAAGGGGATATAAGATGTGGGACGTGACACCCTGTAAGAGTCACCTGTGCCCGGCTATTAGCCTGTTAGGGATTGCTTATTGATCACTTGAACAAATTGAAACTTAAGTCATAGTCCTCAATGATCTCAATGATTGTGATGATGATGAAGATCAAGGTAATGGCAACAGAAAAGGGAATGTGCATATCAATCTATAGTTATTATGGCTTATAAAGAAGAGATGTCCTTTTCCTTTTGATCTTTGTAGGTAGTAATTAATTTCTATCATATTTGTTGTGTTGTGATGAAAAGTGGAGTTATGTGCTTTCTGCAATCACATTTAGGGGTTATGATTTGTCATCATCTTGGGTGTAACTGACACAGGAACTATATCTCTTTTGTTGTATGACATGCATAGATTATGGATTGTAATCATTGATGAATATATATAGTTTCTTGCATATCTACTTATTTCTTTCATGATGTATCCAATATGCGCCTGTCACTGGTGTTTATTTTTGAATTTTCATATCCCCGAATCTGCAATCATATCGTACTTGTATTTTGCGTTCGTGCTAATACAACCCAAGGGCCTTAGGGTGTGTTTGGCAAACTGAACAAAACTGGGCCAGGACTAGTCCTGGCTCAGTTTTGTACTAAACCAGTTTTCTTTTGGACCAACCCCCCCAAAAAAAAAAAAAATTGGTTTAGTGGTGCTAGTTAGACTAAAGATTGGGTTAGCTTTGGCCTAAAATTTTGACAAACAAAAAACAAGTTAAAATCGGTCCTGGTTCATTCCTAGCCCAATTTTAACTTGTTGCCAAACACACCCTTAAGGTAACCAGACTAGGCTAATTGGTGGAGAGAACAAGTAGCTTATTGGTTACACAATTTAACCTTATTCAACCAAGGGCTAATCTTAAAAAAGTTCAGTAAGTCCAAAAAAGGTCGAGAACGTGGAAAATGATGCCTTCGTAGTAACAATCATTTGCGTCAATGAATGGGCCAAAATTCCATATGGAAATTGCATTTCCATATTTTTCTAAGACTCCAAGCTTCATATCTCATATAAAGTGTAAGATGGGTATTCACATTTCATTTGTTGGCTTCCCTATGATTCCTTTGTATCAGGTCACAAGTTCAACTAAGACAACCTTGAAATTTTGTCATACGAAGCTAAACTAACAGACGTAATAAGGAAGAGAACAAGGATTATTTAAGACAGTCTTCGGCTTGCTGAAAAAGCTAAGGATATCAAATTTTGAACACTCAAAAAGTGGATCACCTTTAAGGACCACTTTCAAACATTCGGACACTAGTAAGTCAGATAATAATGGATATACCACTATCCACTAGTAGGCTGGAGATTTTATGAAAGATATCAATCCCAGGCTACTTTAAGATAAAGGTACATAATTATATTGGTTACTGAAGCAGATTAACTATAGCATCATGGATATATTCATTATTCACGCACATCTCAAAATATAGGTGCATTTTTGCACCGGTTTTTTCCAAAAATTCCCATGATTATCACATCAAGGTGGCAGGGCTTATCACTTGGCATGTCTTTGTAACATAGCTAGAAAATTCCGGATCCAGTTAATTGGAGGTCTTAGAAATTGCTAGGCAGCTTTAGCTTCTGTCCACTTCTGTTCCAGAGCAGCACATGCATCGCCTTCCAGTTGATTTGGATGGGTCCTTCTTAGGAATTGTCTGTTAAGCTGAGACTCACATCCCAGCCAGCTCCTTCAAGATCCTCACTGAACCTCATGTACCGTAGAAATATAGAATTCCTTTCATGGATGATATAATTGGCATACTAGTGTGAATTCTAGATAATAATAAAGGAAACTAAGCAGGATTTCCTTTCAACGGAAGTACCTTCCAGGTAATGATTTCTCAAGGGCCGAAAATGCGACAATATGAGAAAAAGGATACGTCTTGTGCCGATATTCTGAAGCTGAGGCGCTGGATATACTTGGAGAAGATTCTGAATAATGATAGGGTAGTTGTTCAACAATACAGATAATTTGCGTCTTTAATGCTTTAAAACCCACCTTGCATAAGTAGAAGATAGGAGTTTCAGATGTTGGAATGATATCCCTTCACAGCCTGTGAGCCTGTAGGCTTTCTCAGATAGCTCAAACCAAGCCATATTCAAGCAGATCTGAGGATTAAGCAGGTAGATAAAGCTACTAAGTTCACTCAAGTCACTACTGGTCTCTCTTAGCGACAAGGTTACTCTAAGAGCCTTCCTGATCCTCACCCCAAACCCCACCCCTTCCTTTAGGGTCCTAAAATATCAAGAAAAAAAAGTGCCTGCGAGCAATGACAGTAGACAGAAAACTGATTTTGCTTTAATTTTTATTTTTCAATCTCAGCAGGTCATTCTCCCCAATATTATATTCCTTTCCTACTAATCTTCATTCTCTTTTTATTATTTGCCCTCCTGATTGTCTTTGGGCTCTTCTTTTATTATGCTCTTACTCTCCCGATCCTCCCTGACTTCACTTTTTCTTTCATTTATTTTCTTAGCGTAATTAACTTCCATTATCAACGATTCAACTTTAGACACTAAAAAGTCGAGGAACCAAGTT